TCAAAAGGAAAAAAAACATAGCACCTCACAACTTCCCAGATGTTACTTAGTCAAAGGTCCAGTATTTCCCCTGAAATGTTGTTTAATATGCAAGATTAGTTTATATCTATGTATGATTCAGACAGGGTAGTTAAAAACGAACACCATTTATATGTGTTTTTGACGTTTTGGAGCAAAATAGACCAAAATGGACTAAATAATATCCATTGTCCTGTGTTAAACTTGATATTCTGGTAGATTTCTGTTGGCAGTTTAAACAATTTGCGTCAGTTGAGGAGATAATTAAAATAAATTGGTGAGTAAACAGTCAGAGATGTGCAAACTATTTTAAACTTTTTGTTTTAATTCTTTTTATAAATGATTTAGGAAGGTGCCTTTTCTCAACTTGAGCTCCTGGCCCCCCAAATGGTCTGTGCCACGTCCCTGATCAACACACCACCGCAGCTTCCGGATTGTACCGAATTAGCGGGAGGGAGTGATGAGGTATTCTTAGAGATGAGTCCAGCGGGGCTGCTTGGCTTCTGTTTTCTCAGGGGTGAGGGGGAGAGCTACAGGAGGCTAAACTTTGGTTTAATTGCTGTGACATAAACTAGCTAGAGAGCTAAAGTTAATTACAATTCATCAATGTTCAGAAGGATTACTTTTTAACAACCGTTGTAATGGCTTTTCTTTATTTCAATTTGAGTAAAACATTGAAGATATAATGGTAATTTTGTTTTCTTTTTACCACTGACTTCCAATTTATTAATGAAAAGACTGACTAGTCGATAAGCTCAGTTTTGGTAAGGAAGGCGGCAGGCAGGAGAGAGAGACGGGATGGAAGTCCCAGGGGAGGAATGCCATGAGGTTACAGTCACACAGGAAGATGTGGCCTAATTAACACTATCTATTCTATTTATCTATTATTTATCTTGAATCTATCAATAAGTCTTAATTTTACAATATAGACAATAGACATAATTTTCTAAACACAATAACATCTATTGCAGTTATGATGTCATAATAACATACAATTGTATAAAACACAATTTGCTTACATCTTTGTTCTCTTTTGAGAATAAAAAAAAACAGATTTAAATTTAAAAAAGAATGCAAACAAACAAGTGAAATGAACTAAATGGCTGAATTGCTTTTGATTCACTGGCAGGAGCGACATGCAGCCAGAGCAAAAAGTGAACAACGAGGGAGAGATTGAACAAAGAGAAAGAGTAGAGGACAGAGAGAGTAATGAACAGGAAGAAGACAGAGAGACTCAAGAAGATGGAAGAGAGGCTACAGGTTATGGAAAGGAGAGAGACATGGAAAATGAATGTTGACAATGTTTTGTGATCATTTTAGCCTCTTCTGCATGTCCAGATCATTAATAGTAACAATCAACTGATTCTTATGCATTACACTTTCAAAAATAATTTATGCTGAGATTGTCAGCCCACTAACATGGTTTGAAATCAATATATTATCCAATTTGTGACCCCCCACAGGACTTAAAAAGCACCTAACTAGATCATGAAAATCCCAAGAATCTCGGGGGGTATCCCCCGAACCCCCCTAGCATATTTGGACCTCGGTATTTAGGAAATCCTGGATACGGCCCTGCACACACACTTACAGCTCGGACCTAAAGCATATCATATAGGCCTATATCAGGATACAGCCGTTGTGTATTTTATCATGTAAAGCACTAAATGGTTTTAGACAAATATCGACTTTGTAGATATCTACTAAACTAAAGCATACAAATAAAAAGAGTAATGTAGGCCTGTTATACACTGAGTGATATATTATACACACTACTCTGCTTTCTGCACGGACCTCACTGCTGTTCTCACTGTAAACATCGCATCGTGATTCAAGCAGTTAATAATATAATATCCAGGGGAGGCATGCAGAGCTGTCATCGGCTGAGATAAGTCCGGCTGTGTGCCACGACTCTTTTAAACATCTCTGTTGCCAGAAATACATCCGCAGAGGATCCGCGGACTGTCGTGAAGGACCCATCAGTGTATCCTTGATTATAAATCCTCCAGAGAGCCTCCTCGATGCTCGATCCTCGGTCCTCGAAGTGCATTAAGAGAAATGACATGTCCTTCAACATGGCACGCTGAAATCCATTTCCGGGTCACTACCAGAGGACCGAGGAGTCGAGGAGTCGAGGAGTCGAGGAGGGGAAATTAGTGAAATGAGAAAGGGCTATAGTGGCTGTAATTGTATAGTGTTATGTTATGGGAGATGAGATTGGGCGGCCTGTTATATAACGCTTCTCAATCCAGTTCAGGGTTGTAAACTTTTATTGAATGAAGGAAGATGGTCTTTGAAATCAAGGAAAATTACTTAAGTTTCATGAAACAATGCTGTAAAAGTCTGTGAATATTCCCTAACAGGATTGAAAAGAGTCTTGAATTCATCTTAAGCTTTCAAAAAGGGGTTGATGTTACTGAACTCCACTTTCAGAAATTAGTCATGATGAATAAAGAAGATATTTCGTAAGGTAAGTGGATTCAAAGTTTGTTTTTTGCATACAACACGCAAAGCAATTGTGAGGAAATATGAATTAAGATGGTATTTTAAATGAAATCTTACGGATAAACTGCACATAATAAAAAGTGTTGAGGGTGTTTTCACCAAAGATAAGACTACCTTTCAGCTGCAAATAACCTGAGGTCAGAAGGAAAACCTGCCTGTGGTAACAGGTGCAGAGAATTCTGCTGCACCTAGATGTTCCTGAGAAAAATCAGCCTGTACTGAGCACACCTGTATTGGTGCATCATGGGTATTTAGGGGGTGTTAAGAGCAAACAGCTGTTTGCCAAAATGCTCATTGGTAAGAGCAGTGTGTTTTAAAAATGCAGTTTTATTTTGGACAACCTTGTTTTCCATTTATGATTTAGGAAGAGTGACCTTAATCATTTTAAGGTTTGCCAGTTCCTCTCAAAATGGAGTGAGAATGATGTAGCTCTTTCCGCACCACTGAGCTCACATGCTGCTCCTATTATTTTAGCAGCAGCAACAGACTGATATGATCATAGGAGGCAGTACCAAGCACTTTGTGGTGAGAAAGACCTATTTTGACCCTGGGTTTAACAGTTATTCAGATTGGTTTGATCAGCAAGGCAACTTTTACTAACACAAACTATTGTTAATAGAATGTAAGCCCTATGAGCCAATAAGGGTCAGCTGTGCAGGCAGAGGCAGATCACGGGGTAATTAGTTAATAGGAATCAGGTGTGCAGGAGCACCAACGCCAGTGTACTCAAGACATGTAGAGTGTGTCTATGTTGACAGGACCACTGAGTCTCATATCTGTATTAAATAGTACACAATTTATTTCGTACACATATATTGTTAAAGTCACCAGTTGCATGATGGCAAACCGGGTTTATTGTTCACTGTTGTGTTAAAGTGTCTGTCTTTCTTAACGCCAGTTCCATTGCTGTTTTAACCAAAAACAACAATATTTTGAACATAATTAAGTCATTTTGTTGAATTGACAAGTAAAATACAACCAAGTAATTTAAACATACTTATTTCAACACAAACTATCAGTTTTATGCATAAACCTGGAGGTAGGTTTGTTGCCGAAACAGGTTCTGTTCTTCAGAGGCAAGCAAAAGCCTGTTATTGGCATGTGTACTGTATTTATTGCATGAAATATAACAATAACTCTTAGTGAGATTACACATAACATAAACTGTTACAGATTTATAATTGTATCATTCTTGGATTTGCAAATCTTGGTCTGCTTTATTCCAGACCATAATGTTGTAGTAAATCAGCTGAAGCTGTGTGGTTACTTGTATTAATG